AGTAGAGACTTAGGTTTTCGGGCATTCCTTCGTCTCAGTTTGACGGTTGTCAGGAGCAGCTGAGGATGCAGAAGGAGCAGTTTGGAGCTTCCTTGGTGAGAAAGCTAGCGTAGGAAGCTGAATTCGTGCGGAGGGCCAGGCAGAAGACCTGCTGTGCTTGCACGTCCGACCGATATACCAGCCTAGCTTGGGTGGGCATGCTGAATGGGGTAATGCTACCAAGGCTTGTTATGTATTTGTACAAGACATGGCGAAGCGATCGTTTTCACGAGAGTAAGGGGAGTACCTCATTTGCTGCCCGCCCATCTCACCTCGCCGCTGAATGTAAAACAATGCCGCACCATGAATGGCTTTCTCAGGCTTTCTTGAACACCCATGTGTTATGACCTTGCTTGTATTATGCGCCCTGGCCAACATGTCAGCGAAACCTCTGGGCGATAGTTGGAGCCACACGACCGCCGGGCGAGGACCAGCAGCTTGGACTTTGCACATGACTGCGCCTTTGCCACGTAGATGAGAGCTTCAGGTCGCCAGCATGGCCGATGTAGATTTATAACTCTGGCTAAGTAGCAGCATACAGGTCCAATTTCTTACGGGCATGGCCCAACCCCGGCCCCCGCCACTAATCAACACTACAAACATCCCAGCACCCCTTTGCGGTAGACCCAGCCGAATTTCAGCACCGCGATGAAGATACCATGCCCGACTGATCGGTTGTCCTATTGTGAACAAGATCCGACAAGACTTGATCTCGATATGTCACAGTTCTGAAGCGGCCGTAGAACACAGACCCCGAGAAGGGTCCAGCGATGTGATGCCGGTCCCTTCGATGCCGACAATGGCAAGCGTGACAGAGTGCACAGTGCAAGTCGATTGTCGCTTCCTTGCATTTAATCTGTTCGTGCACCAGGTCGGCAGAGATGATTGTCTTTGAGATGGTTTGAAGGGCTGCAGGTTGGAACCGCGGCACAGTTGCAACTTCGCGATTTTCAAGAGAGAGTGTAGGGGAAAGCTGGTTATCGTTCTGGTATCGTTTGGGATTGACAATCATCTGAACGGAAGTTAAAAAGCACTCCCAACCTTGCGATGCGGGTCTGCATGGGATCCGGGCTGCAGCTATGGCCCAGGTGATAAGTATAGAGGAATTACATGATATTTAGGTTCGTGTTTTGGAACCTGAGACCCCTCCAAAGGGCAAGCCGAAAGATGTGCATGCCAGTGGACAGGCAAGTCACAGGCCCTGCAGGCACCAAAGCCCTTTACGACGGCAGAACGGCTTGTCTCACTTTTCAAGCTTCTATCCGGCTTCAATTGCAACGCGATCGTTCGCTTGAGGCTTCTCTCGTGGTCTCATCCAGGGGATCTTGACGTGGAAGAACGGCAGGGAACCGGTGGCGCAGCTTGAACGAGCGAGAGCGAGCGAGAGGGAAGGGGGGAGACAGACAAAGAGAGACTTGACTAATGTAGGAGCCCGATTACGAAACCCTGGCCCTATAACCCCAATATTCGTATTCCTGTAAGGAACCCTAATAAAGAATCAGGTTCCTGTATTAGATCTGTCTGCGAGCCATCCACAGGCGAACTTCCCCCTTGAGCCTCCAGAACAGCCGTAGGTTTGTTACTTGGGAGTCTGCCAAATTCGAGGGTCTCGCGCCATCTTCCGTAAGTCTGGGGCAAGAATTGCGAAAGGTCCACGTGGGCTAAACAGTAAACGAGGCTGTGCATGCAGTATGAAGCAAAAAAGTCAGAACGAGCAAAACCTTGCAAAGCGACAAGAAGCCTTTGTGCAACACGAACATGTATTCTAGCCTCATTTCCCTGAACCCTAAACCTTAAGAGAGCTGACACCACTTATATAACAAAAATTTAGACCCTCATGCTGACTGGTTAGGTGGTTGATTTTTCGGGTGCTATATATTGCTGTGAAGCATCCCCTTATTCCATCCGTGTCAGGTTGAGTTTAGCCTCTTTGAGCTCCGACCCGGCAACATCGTCGTCGATGAAGTTTGCCGAGGCGGCTGCTCCCGTTCCTGCTAAAGAATGGGCTGCGGGCCCTAGAGTTACATGTTTGTTCGGTTTTCGCTTAGGGTTGGACAACAACTGATGGATCCGTAAGCTAGGGAGGTGAATTTGTGGCTGGGATAGAATTCTGCGGGCTTGGCACGACTTGTTGCAGAGGATCCGAGCACGAAGCCCCGCAAAGGGAAATCGAGCTGGAATTGCAAACTGCCACACGGAGCATGGCAGATTATTCTGGCATATAAGGTGTGTATATATCTATCTCTATTATATATATATATATATATATATATATACATATATATATATATATATACATATATATATATATACATATATATATATATATGTATATGTGTACATACATGCTTTCTGCAGAATGGTGAAATCCAAGAGTGCTTTTGAACAACCCTGGCGGCCTCAACCTATCCGAATCGACCACCGGCTTCCCGGAGCACACTCAATTTGTGGACTTATGGGTCTGCCATGTTTTGCCATCGGAGCCAACAGCAAAGTCAAAGCAGTTTAAGGTGCGGATATTAGAGACAGATCCGAGAAGCAGAAGCACAAACGATTCGATTTTTCGGCGCTTCTCCCCCAGGACCGGCTCTCTTCGCCAAGATCTCCTGGCGCCTTGTTGCCTCCACTGGCGCAGCCGACCGTCTCGCCGAAGTACGAAAAGGTGCCTGCTCCTCTGAGCAGTAGCTGGGAACGGCGCGACGTTTCCGTGCAAGCAGCAAGCCAGAGCAAATGTTTAGCGCTCCAGCGCCTCTAACCATCATTTTGCAGTAGTGCCTTGGGCTCCAGATGCAATATTGGTGCCAGGTTTAGTCAATGTTTTCATTCATCTTGACAACTCCGTCTATCATTACTGCTTCTATTGCTGCTGCTGGTACTAGTAAGTGCAAATCCATACCGTGCACATCGTGTACGGTGCGCCAAGCTGGCAGTGACGAACCGACGGCAAGTGTGCCAGAGCAGGGATGCACGGCATGAGTCAAGAGCATCGCGTATGCAGCAGTAGGATGCATCGCACGGGTTGTGGCTGGCTGACCCACAACCCAGTCTTCAGCAATGCGATTGTTCAGGTGACAGGCTCGTTTTCGCGAGCCCTAGCTGGGTGCTTGCTTTTTGCGGGGTAGCTTGGCTGCAACCGTGGTCAATTTTGTTTTCGTGGGCCTCGGGTCTTTCGCTTCCTTGTCCTCGTGTGTTTACAGTGTCCCAGTTGCAAGTCTAAGCCGGGTCCCACCAAGGCGGCTAGCCAGGAAGACAGAAAGCCGGCTGTCCCGCTGCTCGGCCTACGCAGTAGCAGTAGGGTCAGTAGAGGGATAGCTGTTTGGGTGTTACTATATGGGCCTAAATAAGTACCTATACTATTTTGGGGTTCCTTATCAGAATTATAGCATAATGGGCCCAACAACGCTATTCTAATTATCATGGCCCCTATATTCCAGGATATGGGGCCGGTCTCGTAGAGATCGCCTTTATTTGGATGTGGGGCATACGAATGTGCAGGCTAAATGCTCGCGTTCTTGTGTCCATCGATGTATTGGTTGCCTAGCAAGCCCACGACACACCACCATCTCTGCTTTTTTCCCTTGCTGCCAGCCTTTTCAATCAGGGTTACCTGATATTCATTGGGCCCCAAACCCTTAATCGGCTTTTATAGTCCTTTGCTTAGGCGGACACCCCCGGAGCCGAGCTGGCAAGAGGATGTATGCCGAGCCACGCCTGTGGTGCCCAAGCTTGTCTCTCGGTCGCAGAAGCCTTGCAGGTCTGGTTTACTTAGGCTTGAGGGGTTAGGGTGGCTTCCGGCCACCATGTAAAATGCCCATCGGTGTCCTTGCCCGTATGTTGAGACAGCAATACCGAGACCGTGATTATCCCGAAACCCCCGAAATCCTTCGCGCTGGTGAGCCCCTTAGTCGTATGACTCTAAGCGATCCTGTTGCGAAGCAGGCCTTGCAACTGAAAGTAAGGCTCTCGGGCTCTAGAGGAAGGGTTCGGCCGACTTCCCAAGCCCGGACGCAAAACGAGTTCGTTGGTGTCGAGCTTCCGGTTCGAGGGTCTGTAGGGGTCGCAGCATAGGCTTTCACTTCTAGTCTCAGGTCAATGTAGCTACATAACATCCACCCGGTGCTCCCTAAATAGTCCCTAAACCCACAAGCCTTCCACCATACGCCTGAAACCCTAGTCCCCACTCCCGCCGATCGTCAGGATTTCACTCGGCTCGAGTCGCGGCAGAACCGGGGCCTCTTTGCAGATTGTCGGCAGGTGACGAAGTGCACTGACTTCTCACAGTGCCTCTAAGATGCCCAGCTGCATCTTCGTACTCGTACTTCACGGGCAGAAGAGCAACAAGAGGGAGAGAGGCAGCCAGTGCATCTTAGTTCGGCTCGTTATGTTCCGTGTCCGGCAAGGTATGCCTCCAATTCATGCACGGCACGACAGCTCCATACATGGAGCAATGTACAAAGGAATGGCACAGACCCAATCAAAAACGTGCCTGGCCCGGACTATAGCTGGCAAGAAACATTAAAGCAATCTGGTAGAACCCTGAACGTAGTCTTATAGAGCCCTTTCAGTGAACTGACAGTACCCCTGGAAGCCTGGAAGAGAATCCCGGATTGTCGGTATCAGGTGTTGCCAAATGTTACATGGTGGCGGTAGCAGCGTATGCTTACCTTTGGTTAGTAGGGAATGGAAGAATAATGGTAGTAATAGTAGTTATTGCACCCCCTTTCGTCCATTCCCTTCTAACCAAAGGTAAGTATGACATAATCATAGTCGCTGCCGTCGTCGTGCTGTGTTTCATGGTCGAGCGTCAAGCTGGGGGTTTTAGGCAGCCTACTATAGGGGCCTAAATTTTTACCAATACTCTTGTCCTTGTCATAGTTATAGTATAACGGGCCCCAAAACACTATTCTAATTACTAAGGCCCCTACATTACTTCCCACAACAAACGCTTGCGGTCCCGATAGGCATCTCACGATCAGACTGTCTCCCTCGATGCCGTCGCAGCCTCGGCCAAACCAACTACTGCTGCTGCTGTTGCTGCTACTGCTACTACTACCACTACTACTACTACTACTACTACTACTACTACTACTACTACTACTACTACTACTACTACGACTACGACGACGACGACGACTACTACTACTACTACTACCATCACCACAAACACTCGCGTTGCTTCTACTGCTGCTTCAAAGCTGAGACTGGCATGTTGGTCTCACATCGGGGAGACTGGAGAGCTAGGTTGTGGAGTGAGTTTGCACATGCCGGTTGCAAAGTGAAAGGTGCCACGTTTTTTCTTGCTTTCCGATGTATCTACTGACTCTACTGTCGATGGAGCTGTTGTTTTGCTGACCCCTCCAAGCATTCTGAAGACGCTGCCACCGCAAGTTTACTTGGTTCAGCAGTCGCTATTGTGAACATGGAAACTTGCTTTTTGCAGCCCCAGGGCGTTGTCAATGAACCACAACTTTAAAGAGACCTGATGCCGAGGCCCTGAAGCTTGCAGAAGGAGCTCGAAACGAGGCAGGTTCCGGATCAGCACCTTGAGGGATCTCAGCCTGCATGTGCTTATGTGGACCATGACGAGCATACGATAGCATCTTGTTGACCGTGTTAATCTTTGCGAGTTCTCATCTTTACCTTCGAGGAATGGAGGCCATCAGTCGAGCCACAACTTACTAAAGTAACGGAGTTTTGCTCTGGACCCCACCTTTCGTCCATTGTTGTGAGCCACTTACCTTTTGTGGTTCGGGTAGTTTGACGCGCACGGCGTCAGTCATTTGCAAGAGCACAGGTTGGACAACAAATGTAGTTGTAAGTACAGAAACAGATACGAATACAGACATAAAAGCAAGTAAGTACACACACAAAGGCAAGCAAGTAAGTAAGCATGCACCCGAATAAATGCGCAAGCAAACACACAAACCAATGTATGCATACAAAATAAGTTTACGATGTGTGTGTGTGCCTATATACATACACATGCATCTGTGTGCGACCGTGCGTGCACATATACATATATATATATATATACAAACATGTGTAGGGCACCGCCCCAAGATCTACCTTTTACCTGTTGTTTACTTAAACCACTATAGGCCTACGCTTGTATATGTACATATGTATCTATATATATATATATATATAGACACATACTCATGTACACACACACACATATATACATATACATATATATATACACATATATATATATATATATTAGAGAGAGATCATGATATGTTTGTGTGTGTATGCGTCATCAGGAGAAAGTGCTTGGAGCAACGTTAGCCCTGCGCCGCCGTCTCAGGCCTTTCCATTGTTAGTGCTTGGGAAAAGTACCGCAACGAAAGATGCCTCCAAGGTTCTCTAAGGCTATTCGCAGGACACCCTGGCACTACTACCAGACTCATGTTCATCATTTTGCTACTGTTCGTTGTCACTGGGCAACAGGTTTGGGGAAGATGCAAATGCAGACGGGCGGGATCTTCAAAGCACAACAGCACGTTCATCGATTTTGTTTTACTTCTGACGAAGGCTACGTCTGGCAGTTCTGCAGCCTCGGGAGTTTGCAAGACCCCAGGTTTCGTAGACTCGATCTCCTCGTGCTTGACAATCACTCCGAAGCCGCCGAAGTCGTGGAACCATAAAGAAATCCAAGGGCACCACAGCGAGTTGCTTGTGGACGCGGCTGGCGGCCGCAAACCGCCGGATTCTTGGAGCCACCAGTTCAAAGTTGAGCAAGTGGGTGCTTGGAGGGTCGGGGGACTTAGTAACTGGTTATTTTAGGGACTTATAAGTACCATAACCCCAATTATGGTCCCTTTTAGGGTACTTATAAGTCTACTTACTACCTATAGTTACTAAGTCCCCTAAAGACCCTCCAAGTGGGGGTTGAGCATTGCAAGTTCCAGAGACGCCGATACACCAAGATCTCGATGTCCACGTGGGAGTTTCCGAAAATAGGGGGTACCTTATTTAGGGGTCCTTGTAATAAGGATCCTACTATTTTAGGGTACTATAATAGTACTATATCAGGGTCCCCCTTTTTTCGGAAACTCCCACGTAGATAGCCTGTACTTTCGTAGGGGATGCTTCACTCAACCTGCAACGGCTCCTGGGCATAGCTGCCTCATTATCCATGAAACCCATAAAGCAAACTCTTGACACGGGGCGTCATGGAACCAGGCTTTCTTACTTACTTACCAGGCGCCAGCGTCTTCGAGCCGCCGTGGTGGACGCCGACGCCACCTTCATTTGCAGGCACAGACGGCTCAACAGTTTGAAGGAACTCGGGGGCCAGGGCTGAAGCTAAGATGCAAATAGTGTCCTAATTAATAACCAGGCAAACACCCACACAGAGACCGCACATCGTTTGGATGCAATAAATGTATTCCAGAACACTGCCTATGCTGGGGCCGTTTAGGGCCTGCCTCCAAATGCCTCCAACTTCTGGGTCTTCAGAGGCTGCCGTAGATGAGCTCCGACATCCGTTTCAGCCTCTGACACTTCGCGGGCATCTGCCTACTTGGAGGGTCGGGGGACTTAGTAACTGGTTATTTTAGGGACTTATAAGTACCATAACCCCAATTAGGGTCCCTTTTAGGGTACTTATAAGTCTACTTACTACCTAGTTACTAAGTCCCCCGACCCTCCAAGTAGTCCTATCCTGATGCGCATGCTCTTGGTAGTGCCTGCATCCGTGGCTGGCCAGTTGATAGAACAATGTGCTTTACAGGCTCCTGCAATGTGTGCTTTTGATTGACTCCAACACCATAGTCTCCTTAAGAATTATGTTTTATTTTTGTTCATATAAAACCCAAGAGAATATCAAACTCATTGTTTTTTGTTATGGTTCTAAGGGGGATATAGAAAAACACGTCATTGACAAGTTATCTGTTCGAGATGGCTTGGTTAGAACTGCCTAGCTTGTCAGCGCTCGTTACGGCATGCACAAACGCACAAACAAAAGCGCGCGCATGCAAGGCGAACATGTACTTAGAATCTGCAGATGTACAGGAGGTTCGCATGTGTGTACTAGTTATACGTTGGTTCTAGCCATTTGCAATGTCAAGAATGCAGAGAACTGCTGCAAGCAACCACTCACTTCGTGAACTAGTGTGAGCTCCGGAAGCCTTGAAGCTGTGGAAGGCTACTCCAGTCCTCACTGCCGCTTCAGCGCCTTGCATGGGCCTCGGCTTGACGGAGATGCCATGGCTGAAGTTGCGCTGTCCTCGTCGATCTCCGCCCCGGCTCGCTTTCCGATCTACATCTGCATGGTCGGCCAAGTCCTTGTTGCCAAGAACTGCATCTTCCAAAGTCAAACGCTTTCAGAATTCATGCCACGGAGATCTAAGTCATTATGGCTCCTTCCTGGCTCATGCGCCAGATACCGTGTGCTCGGCCAGTGGCACCTAAGCGAGCTGAGAGGTCAGAGCTCAGACTGAAGTCCAAGGCGGCAAAGAGCAGATCCCTTCAAACCCAAAGCCCTCGTTGAATGAAGTTCGTTGGATATTCCAGGCGCTGGGCCTACTTCGGGTGTTGTTGGCCGGCACCCCAGGACGGACTGTGCAAGAGGAAGCCAGCCAGGCTCAGGACACCGGCTTGTAGGACGTGTAACACGTCTTGCCGTCTTGCACTTGCTCTAGTGGTTTGCACGAGGCTTCGTATTGCTTGTTATATGTCCTTGTTGTAAGGCAACATCTGTGCAACAGTTGGTTCAAACAAGAGGCCGCACATGCAGCCGACGGCAGTAGTTCACTCACAAGTGGCGGCGCTGAACATCCTCGCAAGTCTCTGCCTTCTTGCAGTACTCTGGTTCCTCCGAGGCTGTCGCTCATGTCAGGTGCCACGGTTTCCTACTTCTCATGCCCGTCACAATTTGAAGCGACAACCCTCGCAGTTTCGGTATTTGTGTCACCATATGTATATACATACAAATATGTAAACGCATACGTACATATACAGACACATCTACACACATGATGTATCTCTGCACATATGCATACGCATACGCACATATGTATGTGTCTAGTTATGCCTGTTTATATGTATACACATGTGCATGCACATGTTCTCACACAAAAACATGTAACATGTAATGTAACCTTCACCTTCTATCTAACCACTTCGACGACGAGACCTGGTCTAGCTAACACAAACCCTTGCTGAACTCGATTCGTGCGCCCGAGCCGAGGCCGGTGACGACCGAGAAGCCGAGGAGGTGACCGGCTCGATTGTGGTGTATTCTACTAGTATTCGACATCTCATACTGTACAATTCTTAATGTAGCAAATACTGTTTAGTATTATGTGCACACATACATACATACACACGTACATGTATGTGTGTATATATATATACACATACACACGATGTGTTCATAAATACATGGTCTGTATCTATCTATCTATATATGTATATATACATATACATATATATATATATATACATGCACGTGTGCATACATATAGTTATACACATGGGGCCTAGGGGCTGAGGGGGGCTTGGGGTTGAAGTCTTGGAGTTCAGGGTGTAGAGTTTGGCATATCGCCTGGTATATTCCCTGGTACAAGTCCTGTGGAGGCCTCGGCAGAGCTGGGGCTCTGCGCGAAGTGGCTGGTGGAAGCCCTGGCCTTGGCAAGTACAGTTGAGTCCGGGGTACACTTTCGACCTTTATCAGGGTAGCATGGTCAGGCAGGTGCAATATAGTGTGTATATATATATATATATGGTCACCCCCCCCCATGACAGACCATCCCCTTCAAAACATCGCTCTCACCGGCGTGTTCGTGCTTTTTCTGGGGTATCGAGTTTGAGCCCTCCGAACGTATCTGTGGAACCACCAAAAGACTGAGACCGGTTGACAGACCATGCCCTTTCAACTCAGTCGTAGCGCATGGTCTGTGATCGGGGGGAGGTGGCACTCAGCTTACAAAAACTCAATTCCAAAATTTCCAAAATTCTCTCCCCTAACTTTCCGGATTTCCAAAATTTCCAAAAATTCCAAAATTTCCAAAATTTACAAAAAGTCCGCCCTTATGTTTTCTGGAAAAATCCTGTCGGCTAGGTCGGGCCGTTTTGGAAATTTTGGAAATTTCTGAAATTTTGAAAATTTTGGCAATTTTGGTAATTTTTGATTTTTTGGAATTTTTTGAATTTTTGAAATTTTTGGAAATTTTGGAAATTTTAGAAATTTTGGAAATTTCGGAGATTTCGGAGATTTTGGAAATTTTGGAACTTCTGGAATTGATTTTCAATGGGCTGATTGTGACCCATCGGATGACAGACCATGCACTACGACTCACTTGCAAAGGCAAGGTCTGTTTAGACGATTGTCAGTGTTTATCTATTTTTCTAAATTGGTACTCCTACGAATACTATTACCAATACTCATTCTGACATTGATCATTTGCTGACTGCCCAAGCTAATACCAGCATTAACACTAATATTTACATTTTTTTAAGCCAATACGAATAGGCACCATACAAATAACAAATACTAATAATGATTAATACTGACGTTCATACTCCTACGCATATCAATAATTATGCCCATATTGGTAGTAGTGTATTTTCATTCCAATACTAATACACACCTGCATATACCAATGTACATAAATATACATACCACTATATTAAAGTACAAATACATTAGCTCATGCATGTATTTATTTGTTAGTATTTTCATGTAATCAGGAGTAATACTAATATAAGACAAACGTTCATGCGAATACATAACTTCATTTTAACATTAGCACTCGCACTAGCACTATTACTAATACCAATCACACTGTTTATACCAACACCAAGATTTACATAAGTATTGATACTCCTACGGATACTACTGCGTATACTCTTATGCTGTTAACAGTAATGCTGTCACCAATGCTAACACTGTTATTGATAACTTGCTGAATATTCAAGATAATGCCAGTATTAATACCATTATTAACACTTATACTAAGGCTAATGCGACTATGGATAATCCTAATACGAATATTAACATTAATACTCCTACGAATACCAATAGTCATATTCATATTGATGTGAAGACTAATACCATTACAAAAGACACGTGCATATGCTAATGCACACCAGAACACATACCATTAACTTAAAATGCCGATATGTAACAATGCATTCATGTACTGATGTTTTAGGACAAGCATATACCCATATACCAATGTAACAATACACTACTTGTTAATGTGTGAATATACTATACTAGTATGCTATTATGCTAGTATGCTACTATACTAGTATGCGACTACTGTAATATGCAAGTATACCGACGTGGCAGGTTAGTGTACTAATATGACAACATACTGATACACTTATAAATCTTTAGACTTTAGACAATACACGTATATTGCATATACTAGTATACTAATACACTAATGTACGAATATACTGGTATGTTAATATACTAATATATTAGTACAGCAATATACTAGTTTACTCATGCATCAGTTGTACTAAAGTATTAAATCTACGAATATGCAAGTATACAAATATGTTGCCTCTCGAACACATCAATGTGTTGATATACTAACCTGCTGATACACGAAACTATCAGAATAGTAACATATCGAAAATAGCTCTAATTTTGATACCCATACTAGCACCTCTGCCATTATTAACTGATATTAAACCCAGCATGAAGACTGATACTAGTACTAGCAGTGGTACTATTACTGGCATTGACACTGGCACTAACACTAAGACTAAAACGAAGATGAGCACTAACATTAATGTATACTTACTACTGCCGATATATACATATATATATATATAGATATACATACTTACAGTAAACACTAATACTATTCCTGATACTAATACTAATACCAATATTAATACTCATACTCATCCTATATCAATGCTACCACAAAACTCATAACTCACGTGTCGCGCATCTGGTCCATGCGTCCTCAGTACATGGCATGTTAAAAGTATACTTGGTATATGTACTGTAAAGGATTTGCTTTACAGATTGTCGTCATGTGTGGTGTGTTTAGATGCAATATCTCAGCCTAGTCACCGAACGAGAGTACACTATCACAAGGGCATGGTCTGTCAACGGGGGGGGGGGGTGAGCATATATATATATATATATATATATATGTATATCGCAATGGGCCAGGGGTAGTTTGATGGGCATTGGAATCAGTGGAACAAGGCAAGAAGAGGCTGAAGCTTACTATAATCACTACTATCATGATTGTTTTCATTGCGATGACTATGATTACGGTTATTATGAGTCGTATCATTAACTTATCATCATTATTGCCAGGTTAGCGATGGTTATTAACAGCCTTATTGTAAGCTCAAGAACTGAAACTCGAGACCTGAAACTCGGCCGTGCCCCCTGCAGTCACTCGAGTTCCGGACTGTCCAGAAAGTTGTCCAGATCCAGGGCTTTATGGTTCAGGGCATGGGGTTACGCTCATTGATGAAAGCGTAGTCCAAATCATTTGGAGTACTGGGTTGGTTTTGCTCCAGGACGCCCCCGAACTCTGCAGCAAGGGAGGCTTGCATGGTGTGATCCGCGATAGACTCAGACGTTCCACCGTCTCAGGCCTGCGCCGGCGCAGCTGCAGAAGTTCGGTCAGCCGCCTGCACACATCACAACGTTATGTAAAGCTCGTTTGTGGCACTCTGTGGCAGTTCCGGGTGTGTAAGAAGCATAGCGGCATAGCGGCAGGAGACTGTTGGAGCATTTCATAGCAACGGTGCCACCATTCCCTCCACCGCTCCGTCGGATGATTCATCAGGCCTGCAGCTGGTGCAACCGCTTCAAAAGAGGCCTGGTTCTCTCCTCACGGTCGTGATGCTTCGGCGCACATGACATTGTGCCAAGTTCGTATACGTCGTAGACTTCAGCACACCATGCTTGGAGGGTCGGGGGACGTAGTAAGTAGGTAGTAAGTAGACTTATAAGTACCCTAAAGGGGACCCTAATTGGGGTTATGGTACTTATAAGTCCCTAAAATAACCAGTTACTAAGTCCCCCGACCCTCCAAGTACCGGTCATCGGGTCATCGTGCCCAGGTCATAGCTCCTGCAGCGCCCAAGACTTTCGTAATCCTTGCGCCAGGCTTCCCAGGAGAGATTTGGTCCGATGCCAAGACCAAGAGAGGCTCAAGATGCATATTAGAGACTTTAGACTTGTAGAGGAAACCTTTTTTGAGAACCCTTATCAGGGAAACTCTGTCTTGTTTTTGTGGCTTTAGACTTGTATAGGAAACCTTTTTTGATAACCCTCATAAGAGAAACTCCGTCTTGTTTTTGCGTTTTTTTGGAGTCTTGCACCTGCTCGGGAGCTTGAGCTCCAGCCAAGCCAGACCAAGGTTTCGGAAATTAAAGCGTCCGTGATCCAAGTACCCGTACCGCAGATAGGGATGTTTGTACGTATGTAAGCATGCATGTACGCATGTGCATGCATAAGAATCCTAAAACTCTAGCTTAACTCCTAAGCCTCGGTTCAGGGTTCAAGAGTCCTAAGCCTATAAACCCCGCAACCATAAACCCCAAATTAACTCATCTTGCCTCGCCTAGATTGTCCGAGTGTGAGCGCTGAAACCCCAAACTAGTTCCCAAATCCCAAAACGTAAAGGGCAAATCCCTAGAATCGGTTTAGGGTTCGGGGTTTAGGGAGTTTAGGGTGCCCTAGAATGCCTAAGGCACAGAGGAGCTGTGCGACACCTCCGACCTCCTGCAGCGACTCCTCGATTTGCTTGAGCCTTTCTGGAGTGAAAACTGTAGGAACGCTAGGAAGCCGACAGAAAATGTTCTACTACAACTACTACAACGGCCACGACTACTACTACAGCAACAGCTTCTGCTACTATCAAAACTATTGTTGTTATTTAAGTTCATGTTCTTGTGGTTGTTCTTATTCGCAGTTGTAGGAAGCAGTGACCAACTGTTATGAGTATTAGGATATCTTTGCTATTGGCTATTGGTGATATGTTGTATAATAGTTGTGATAAAGAAACTTGTGCATAGTGACGATACCAAGAAGTATTGTCATGTGCTTCGTAGGTCCAGAGTGGACGTGTTGGGACCTCCTAGGATCTGACTTTGAGGCTTTTATACAGGGTTGAGGTTTAGGGAATTGAGCGTAACCCAAGATTTGACATTTCGCTTCTGTGACCGGTCTGGACTTTTAGATTCTAAAGGCGCTGGTGGAAGTAAGATAGCACTGGTCTGACTTCAGGGCTATAAACTTCATTACACAATGCCTTAAACCGAGTCCTTGAGCGATGCTCTTGCTGTGGATTGGGGCGATATAGGGCATTTGGGGCCTTATAACGTCTATGGGGTTTAGGGAATTTTCTGCTTGGCCTTCTGCAGGGTTTACTTAGTATTACTTAGTTATGACTTGGCCAGCAGTGCTGTGCTAGAAGGGCTCCAGGAGGCAGCGATGCACACAGAACGTGGTATCTCGAAGTGGGTAGTTGTCATACTTAGGGTCCTTTCTTGGGTACCCTAGATACTAGGTGCCGTATTACAGTAGGGACCCAAAAAGGGACCATAATTTTGACAACCACCCAAGTGCCCTGAAAATGGCTCCCTGCCATGAACCGCCAGTCTCTCAGGTCTGCGCCGAGCACCGAAGTGGAGGTGTTGGGAGTGGTGCGGGATGGGAGTCTGAAACTTGCTCTGGTGTGCAGCGTTTGACCTTAAGTTGCGAGCTACAGTACAGCTTTATGAGGCTGAGGACTCTGACAGCTGACGTTTTAGGGACTTGTGAGCTAAGACTTCTAGGCTCTTTCAGCTTGGTGATTGGCTCCTTAACGGGGACTTTTGGTTTCATCTTCGGGCGACTCACGGCATGCTTTCGGAGGGAAGCCGAGGCTCGACAGTCATCAGGCCGTTACTTTTAAAACTACTTCCATGTGAGATCAATGTTCAGGACTTTTCATTCCGTTACTGACTTCGTGGTGGGCACTGAAACGCCAGGAGGCTGTTGTGCTGTGAGGGTTGTTGGGGGGATCGACTGCTGCTGCTGCTGTTACTGATACTGCTACTGCTTCAAAAAACACCTAGGAATAGCAGAAAATGCTAAACCCCGCGTCGCGTCCTCCCTCCAAGTCATGCTTGTTACCACGGTGTCTCTCTTATGCCGGCTTCTCAGTGCGAGGCCGGTGGGGCTGCCGTACAGACCGATGCCCGAGCAGACATTGCAAAGGACATGCCAAGTCTGAAGAAGCATGTAGAAGTCACACAAGGGCTTTGCGCGCGAGACGGTTCATGAAGACAAACGGGCAGTGGGAGCACGGTGTCTCGCACGAATTCAACGTGCAAGTGCCGATAAGAACAGCTCAGTCGTAGTCGCTTGGGGCTCGCAATTAGACTTCAGAGATGCCGCAAACTCAATCTCCGAGGAACTATGACTACAGTCAGTTTAGGGTTTAGGGTTTGGGAGGGGGGGGGGGGGTTCGTAGACTGGCTTGACTTGAGTCCAGTGGCAAAAAGGGTTTAGGGGGGTTTAGGGTTTCAGTCATCTGCAATCTTCTGCATCAGGTATGTTGGTTAAAATTGATTATCCTTTCTTTGCGTACATATCTCGTAGGAATCTGGCGAACTTCCCTTCCCTGTGCAAGAACAACACCCCGAGCCGCAGGGCCAAGATCCTAGTCGAAGTGAGCACCCTGCTTGCAACCCTGACCTGAGCAAACCTTGTCTGCTGTTCAGGTTTCTCTGTATAATTGTAGCGTTACAATCAGGGTTCATGTAGTAAGGTTCCATCCCCTGATTTCCTGGGACAGTTGCCAAAGTGTGGCTGCTTTGAGGGGGCGAAAGGGATGGCATGGCACCCATAGGTTATTGAACAGAAGCGGAAGTCAATATCACTGGAGGTTCCTGACTCCAAATTCTGTTGCAGCCCGTGTTGCGAAGCGCAGAGACAGGAGTCGTGCCGGCTGTTGTCCATGTTGTTGCCTCGGCCCTGGCATTTTGCGCGCATGACAGCTTCCGCAGAGCCTCGGGTTTGTGTGCAGTGTTGAGAGCGGCTAGCCCCGGGCAATGTGCACCCCAGGCCCTGCTCAAAAAGAGGCCTAGCTGCCTAGCTGGGTCGAACTACCACGAAAGTTCCAACATATACGGCAATCGCCATGATGGCTATTCGGTGTATTTGTTCTTGCTGACCAACTTCCTTTAGCGGTTATTGTTTGTTCGTCTTCGCTGCCACTGCTTTCATTCCAATAACTCCATAACGCTAAACGCCCTAGAGGCCCCACATCTCCTATAGATCGCGAAGTCTATGAAACAAAACCCCTCAGAGAGCGGACCACCTGCCTACGCAGCCGCGGCCTTTTCGCCAAGAACTCCCGTTGAACCCTTGCAGGAACCCATATGGAACCCTTACCCTAAGGGTCCAAATACCTTGTTATCACATACTCTCCAAACTAGTAACCTACACAAATTACTACTATCCTAAAGCCGAGTACCCAATTATTGGGTCCTTTGGACCCTTGGGGTTACAGCCGTATGGGAACCCTTAGGAAACTCTTAGAGCCCTGAGCAGAAAGGCCTGGCGGCAAGCTGGCAGCTCTCCTTTCCAAGGCCTTGTAACCCAAGATATGGGAGTTTCCATAAACTAAGGGTACCTTATCTATAAGGGTTACTATAAGGGCTGCTAGAAGAGTTTATATGGGAGTTTCCGAAAATTGGGGATACCTTGTTTGGGGGTCCTTGTAATAAGGATCCTAAGTCCTACTATTTGGGGTGCTCTATTAGGGTCCCCGATTTTCGGAACCGGGTTAGGACTTGAGTCCAGGCCAACAGCTGTTATCCCAGTTTCGGACTGTTAGGATTGAGGCTGCTACAACTTGTGCAATACGACTGCCTTTTCATCGGGGTGGCTGACGGTTTCATTAAGCGCGATTACAGCAGCATACACAACGAAACGTAGAATCATATGTCGGTCTCTTTTGTTTCCATCAAAGCTGCACATTCTGTGCTCTCAGATAGTTCTACCCAGAGGCCCCATAGTAGTTCCTTTTTGGGATGCCCTTATAGGATTCTATATATGAACCCCAAAAAGGAACTACTATGGGGCCTCTGGGTAGATTCTAGATCTACTTGAAGCCAGGGCCGCAAGTTCCAGGGTCGCGCATCCCAAAGCCCTAGAATAAACCTCGGAAAGTCTGCTGTAACCCTAAACCCCTAAACCCTAAACCCCCAAACCGTGTACCAGGATCCTCGCCCAGGCATGTCCGAGTGTGAGTGCTGAAACCCCTAAACCCTAAACCCCTAAACCCCTACACCCCTAAACCCTATAAGCCCTAAACTTGATGCAGGAGGTGGCGTGCAAGAGCTTAGCCCGGGGCTCTGGCTGACTTGGGAGTTTCCGAAAATGGGGGGTACCTTATTTGCTGTCCTTATAATAAGGATCCTACTATTTAGGGTGCTGAATTCCCCTGTTTTTGGAAACTCCCCACTTGGAATTTCTTGGTTTGACTCTCTTGGTCGGCCTTCGGCGCCATTGATTTTCTGAATGTTTGCACACAGACAGGCTGCCGCCGGCGTTGTTGAGGTCATCTGGTGATTTCTATAATGGGTCCTTTCGAGAGGGATTGGACAGAGCATAATAATGGTCTGAGCTTCTCGAAAATGCTTTGCTTGGCCGCTTCCTCTCTAGACTTGTTCGGCGATGCCACTTTTGTTGAGTTCGGCCGGGATTTGCCAGAAAGCTTGTCGAATTTTCAACTGCATGCAGAGAGGAGAGCTGCCGACGCTTGCTGAGATCTTGGAATGCCCGAGGCTCTTGCAGAATCGCTTCTGCTGCGCTGTCAATTCCTCCAACGTCCACCTCCACAGGTTCGGAAGCCTGCCTCCCCGAATCTTGCAGTCTCTGTTGAACAACCCTGTTGTTGATTCTACGACGGTTCTTCATGACTCGTAGGATGATTAAACTTCGGGTGACGAGCACGATGAGGATCGCAACGATGATGGTTGCTGATGATGGTGGACCGCATGCAAGAATCACGAGTGCAACTTGTACGGTCTAGGGCGAAAATCGGCAAGCCTTCAGGTGACATAGATGCCCATGTCCGAGACTGGGAATCGGTGGTGGTTCAAGGGATATGAATACAGCTTGCACATCGTTTTGGAGGATTGGAGGAAGCTACTAGGACAAGTACATGCATTTGAGCCGCTCAGTTGTGCCATGGAAAACGTTTGGACTAACCAGAACCACCCAAAGCATATGATCGAAACCGACATCGCCAACATCCTTGATCCGCAGGAAGCTTTTGCTCTTGCAGAGTCAGTTGTCGTGGCCGGCTGCTCAGCATTCGGAACCCCGGACTGCTCCTAGTAACATGACATGTCGTGGCTCAAGGGTGTGATTGCTGCGGCTCGTGATCATTGTGACTTCCTTGGCCATGATATTGTCTTAATGTCTCGGTTGGCTTCCCCAGTTCTGCTTCTGGTTAGACAAGGTTTCGGGTGTCCGTTTCAACAGTTCGGGGTCAAGTGTAGGGGCCAGAGGCGCTGAGTCATTCGGGCCACGCAGGCATTGAGTCAAGATTTAGTCTGCAAGGCACGTAATGTGTCATCAGGGCTTCAGTGGCAGCGGTCCAGCTAATCATGTTTCACTTCGGTGCTGTTGGTGTCGATATGTGGATCATCTCGGGTTCGGGGCTGCATTGTTGACGAGACGCTGCACGCCCACTTGTGGAGTGCCACTCTTCCCGCGTAGAAGGCCTTCAGGACGACTGCCTTCGCCGCTACTCTATTGCTGTCTATAGCTGCCCTGTTGAAACTCTAGGAGCTTCATTGTCATAGCTGATATTTAGGCGACTCTACCTCCGGGGCTTCACCGGATTTTGAATCGATGCTATACCGAGGCGGAGAGTCTGCGTGGCAGCTCTGAACAAGCTGCGGCAACCGTCTAAGTCTGGAGTCGTTTTCTAAGTTATAGGGTCTGCGAGGTGTTCAAGATTTTGTTCTTAGCCAGCTTGCAGCGGCTAGAGTTTCTGCAAGCCGTCTGACGCTCGCTTACATTCAGGAGTGATGTGGGTTTGCGGTTACGACCCAGTTGGGTGTGTGGTCCCAACCCTTTCTGCAGATGCCTCTTTCGTTGACAGAACTGGTTAGCCTCAGGTTGCTGAACCATTGCAGTGAGCATGGCACAATGTGAGTGCATGACACCTGTTCGCCCCGCCCGCCTTCCCTGGCCTCGCCCGCTTCCAGAGTGGTGGACTCTCCTCTTCCCGTCGCTGTTGTAATGCAGTGCAGTGTGGCACGGGGTTAGGTTTGCTTGCAGTACCTGGTCATATCGTCATGGTTCGTAGACTCTCCTCCCCTTGCAAAAGTTATCGCAAAGGGATTTGGCATTCTTTGGGCTGTGTGTCTCCGAGATCCCGGATCACATATTATGTATGCGTGTACGTATGTATGCATGTATCTGGACGGTTGTGGAGACGAAGGCGGACGGAGGGGGAGACAGAGAGAGACAGAGCGAGAGCGCAAGAAAGAAAGAGAAAGAGACGCAGAGAGACAGAGTTCACCAGTCACCAGACAACATCACCAAACACAGTGTTCACTACCGCCCCTCTCCTTGCGAGTTCGCGGAACAGCCATGCAAGGCCCGGTAAGCACCAAGCCCTCCCAGAACCGCAGGGCGTCGAGCTGAGCTATTCGTATTAGTTCTTGGTATTTTTAGTTCTCAATTATTACTAGTATTGTTAGCTATTATTATTAGTATTATAATTAGTACTATAACTACTATTTCATAGTAATTTTCTATTTTGCTGAGGCTCTTGGCCTCCTCACAGCGGGTCAGAGCCAGGCGAAGAGGTTTTGCTGCCAAGTCTTGTTCACGGTTTCGGCATCAGGCTTTATCGGGCTTATGGTTTCCATAGCCTTACCTTGGGTTAGTAGGGCATGGAAGAATGGTAGTAATAGTAGTTATAATTGTACCCCATTCCTCCATTCCCTACTAACCAAAGGTGTCGCCGGCATGAGTGTTGAGTGTTGGGGATGTGTTGGCGCATAAAAGTTTATGGACCGGTTGGCACGTGTTTGGACGTGTGCGGTGTGTTTGAGTCGTGTTTTCATGACTGCTTATTCGGGTCTGTGCACATATTCGTGTAAGTCGTCATAGTTCACCTGTAGAAGTGTGGCATATGTCACTGTACAGTACGAACAATACACACCCCGCTGTACAGTACTTGTAAGCACAATACCGTGATGTAGTATATGTATGCGGTGCAATGTGCGTTCATGTCATGTAACTAACCCCTTTTTTCTCACTTGCTGTAATGATTTGTGAAGCAATGCAATGTAATGCGATGCGATGTACAGGGACAGAGCTTCGTCGCATCTTGTCGTGTCGTGTGCTGTTATGTTATAGTATGTTAGGTAGTGTACAATATTTCAGTGCAATGCAGCAAGATGGCCCCTTGCACCCTTTGTGAGTTTCGTGCGAAGTGATGTAGCGTAATATAACTTTCTACACGGGGTATAGCATTACCACTGCAAACTGTGCCACAGTGCAGTGCGATGTAATGCACTTCGTGTGCTGACTGTTTTTGGTTATCCGCATGTACATAATACATGGTTACACTGGATCTGATTTCTGATGGTCCAGCCGAAATACGCATTTCTGCATCCGCGGATGCACGTATGTGTGTATGCACGCATGTATGTATATGTTTTTATATGTATGTATATGTGCTTGTGTCCGTGTCGTAAGTATGTAGGGGTTTATTCATGCATGCGCGGATAAATCGATTCATGCATGTTGGTTTGGCTATGTTTGGCTGCTTTTATATGTATGTATAGGTATGCCGTACCTACATGTGTATGTATGCAGGAAGGGCCGGAATACTGCCACAGATATGCCTGCCGACATACATGTATACACAAGTACGTACATGTCATACTCACTTGTCGTCTGTGAAAAGCCTTCCCTCGATGCTGGAAGGTACAGCCGGCCCTTGCCCGGCGCCCTGAACCCGTACACCCTGACTCGAATCCAAGTGAGTCTCCGCTCCCAAGTGCATCTCTAAAATTACAAATGTCATCGATACTACCTGGCCTCTCTTTGCCTGAGGTGAGGGCACTCATTCACACTTTCAGCCTCGATTTCATCCTACGGCAACTTCCCCACACCACACCCGCAAATCCAATGTGGGTGTTTGTCATAATTATGGTCCCGTTTTGGGCACCCTAAATATTAGGTGCCGCACTATAGTAGGGACCCAAAAAGGGACCATACTTTTGACAACCACCCATGGGCTGTGACCCACTCTGCCCAGAGATCGCAGTCTCGTCTCAGAGTGTCAGTTCGAGCACAGTCCATCACAGCTTGGGCCCATGGGTGACAAGTCCAAGCGAGAACCTTGCCTGCGGAACTTCGGTCGGGTTCAGGGGTTCTCGGGCTACAAGGATTTATGGGGGTTAATATAGCCATTAGATGCTATTGGTGTGTCTCTCCATTTTGTGGTTCTTGTTGTTGTCACTTGATGTTGTGGATTTTGGTAGTTGTGCTGACTAATTATTTGTTTTGTTCTACACTTTGCTGCTGCAAGCTAGCTGGTCGGGTTCAGGCTTTGGCGATATGGGAGTTTCCGAAAAGAGGGGGTACCTGATTTTTGGGTCCTTATAATAAGGATCCTACTATTTCAGGGACTATGCTAGGGAAACCCCAGATTTCGGGTCAGGGTTTGGAGAGTTGACTGCTCGGAATTTCGGGCTGCTTGGCGACATCACACACTCGACCAAAGCATGCATCCATGAGAGTCACCTCATGTGCCCGGCCACCGGGGCACAGTCGCGACTTGCAGAATGTGCTCCCAACCCTTCCAGTTGGCGAAAGCTATTTCAGCCTAATCAGCTAACCCTGATCCTGATGGGAAAGCCGTAGACCTCTATGGCAATAGCCAGAAGGTCAGCAGCATGGCAGACAGTACAAATAGGTAGTCCCGACACGACAGAAGTCACGGCCCCAAGCACACGCAGTAACGGTGTAGTAAGGCAGCCCAGATCTCAGAGTGACAATACACGACACCAGTCGTCAGCAATTTTCGGACCTTTTCTTCATGCATCCAGGTCAGCGATGCAGATCGTAGCATGCTTGGTGGCAAGAGCATCTCCAAGAAAAGTGAAAAGGCCGAGAGGGTTCAGGGTGTAACGTTTGGGGTCACTTTAAGTTCATGCTTTCGCTGTTCTGCAAGGCCTCCTTGTTGCAAGGCACTTGAACAGCCGAGGTTATTTGTGCAAAAGTCGTCAAATCAGGATACATGTCAACGCGGAAGGGCACTGTCGTCAGAGATTGCATGTACATTCTCGGTAATACCGGATAGCTTCGGCACATTGCTCCACCACGGAACTCGTGTCCACTCTGCTTCACAGCAGGCCCAGCCATCCCGTTGCATGGTGGTAGTTCTTGGACGATGCTCAGGAATAGTAGACGTCGTCGTCGTGGTGGTGGCAGCCGTAGCAGTAACACCAGCAGTAGCTAGTCACAACGCAACAGCGACGACGTTCCATTTGCGTGGGCTTCGCAAAGCCTCGATCAAAGGATCCCTAAAAAGGACCCATAGACCCCCAGCTGTCTCAAACAGGCGCGGCTTCTGTAGCTCGGATGTGTTGGCAGGTTTTGGTTCTTCGGGCTTACAGGGTTCAGGAAGCATTGATGCTGTAGGCCAGTCTTGTGTGGGGGACAGGCCGGAGATAGGTTGCCAAGGATCTTGGTCGTGCTTCACAATATGACAAATACATGTTGCCTTCGCTGGTTTGACTTGTCACGAGAATGAAGAAAACTGTGAGGGCCGCAGCGATGCTGATGGCCGTGGTGAGGCCATTACCATGTGGTTCCAGATAAGTACATGTCGACCCAAGGAAGGAGATATCTCCAACCGCGAAAGAAGTGCGACGAGTACCGAAATCTTCGGTGATTGCGATGAGACAGGCGCCTTTCAAGAAGTTGCACAGACGGTCCTATTCGCAAGACCTTATAAGCGATATGTACATACACATGAGAACAAGCATAGATTACACATACCTGCCCGTCATGACAGCCTGTGCCTTAGCACCTAAGTTGCGAGAGTTGGGGGCGCCTTGAGTAAAAAATAGTTCTCAGCCAGAGTCTGATATTCTTCTCGGTCTCGATAAGATGCTTTAGGGTTTCTATACGGGTTACTATACGGGTAGATGTTAAAAAAGGTTCAAGAGAAGGATTCCATACGGGTAAGGGTTCTATGAATTGCATGGTTGCTTTGCAGAGGGCGTCATGAAGAGAGTCCTTTCCAAGGAGATGAGCATAGTGCCTGTTGCGATACGAATACAAACACAAATCCAGAGCATGTTACATGTCATGATGGGTTGATTGGTGTTATTCCGCAGAGCATTTGGCAGCAGCATTCGCTGTTGCAGTTTGGGCGGAGGTGAGGCTAAGAGTTTGCAGTAGTTGGCGGAAACTTCGTTCCTTTCCGCTACAATCTGTACGTATGTATGCATCTATGCACTCGTATATGCGGCATCCTTACAGTGTGCAAAATTTGTATATGCGAACACATACCTACATACATACATACATACATACACACACACACACACACACAAATAGGTAGAGGGAGAATCGGGGCGCGCTCGCATTGTTTGTATTTTTTTGTTTGTATGCATGTATATGCGCGCGAGGGTTTGCACATCTGCTGTGTCTTGCTGGTTTAGGAGTTTCGGCATGGCTTCTTACCTTTGGTTAGCAGGTGCTTGATGACCAAATGGAAGAGATGCACGGCTTGCTTCTGGGCTGCAATGTAACAAATGCGTACTGATGAGGGAGGTGGCCTTTTAGTTCAATTAATTAGTTCCTTCATGCGGCTGGTACTTGAGTAGCACTTCGCATCTGCGGCATTCCGCCACTAGGTAAGCGAGGCATGATGTGAGCATGGCTTACAAGATCACGTAGTAAAAAGTGATTAGACGAACAAGCAGCTCTGAGAGTTGCACATCGTCTGGATCATACTCAGTAACTGTCGAAGGAAGGTTCACAGCGCACGACTGCGTTTGAGGATAACAGCGAACCATATACATATGATAACATATGCATCGGTGCACATATGCTTGAATGGTTACGCTTGCTTGCATGACATGCAGGTGAGGCTCATTCCTGATGTGTTTGTATGAACAGTTAACTGCAAACATGTGTGCACGCAGTACCTTTCCCAGGCGCGTGCTAAAATGTTCCAATCTATGTATGCTTACATCGCCACATTGCTAGAAACGACAGAATACCTTTGTGCTTGCATGTTTCTGGCCAGCTCTTCTTTCACCGAGCCCACCTACCCAAACCGTGTCGACTTCTACCGCTTCTTCTCGTGAATCCTAGAGAACAGCTTGCGAACACCCTAAACCCATTTGTCCAGTCCGACTCTGAGCGCATAAGCCCCGAACCCTATACCGATACTATGAAGCAATCGCAAGACGCTCTAAATTAAAACCCTAAGCATCTTCTCTTCAGACCTCGCCTGGTGTTGCCGAGTGTGAGCATTGAAAACGAAAGCCGTGGCCAGGGAAGGCACACAAACCTACAGCCCCCTAGAACCCCCAGCCCCTTTTTTACCCCCATGCCCCATTAACCCTAATTCGTATAAATCAAAAAACCCCGAGGTTCGTGGTCCACGCACAGAAGCTGAAGAGGCTGCTCGATGCCCAAGAGCAGGCGGAGAAACTGAAGGCCGACTTCTTGGAAGTTACGATTCAGGGTTTAGGGAAAAGGGTGCCCTAGGGATCTTCAGCTTAAGCTTCAGCCCGTTGTCTTCTACAGCTTTCCCTTCGAACTCTTGCCTTAA